TGTTTTGCTCTTGTTCTTAATACGGAAAACTCCCGATAATCCAGCTCATTCCCAAAAAGTTTCCATTTCTTATGTATTTTTGACTTTTCTTTTAGAATTCTAATTAGGCTATTATTATACCACAAAGGATAACTTTTATTACTTATATTAACCTTACGTTCGGGAACATATAAGTTTATACACTTGTGTAATTCTGAGGTAAAACAATTAACAGCGCAGTCTACTGATTCGCAAGAGTTAAATAGCTCGCACCAATTAAACTTTTTTAAATATTTTATCATGTTTTTAAAATTACATTTATGAAAATTACGCTTAAACATATACTTTTGTTCTATAAGAGGGCGTACTGATATGTTCGAGGCGTCAATTAAGAGGCAAGGATGGGCGCGATCTTCGTTTACTAATGAGATACAGGATGAGTTACATGATGCCGAAAAGTTACTAAATACCAGGTCAAGGGTATTACCATAGTGGTTTTTTGTATAATTATTATTTTGTATAATTATATATGCCCACAGGCTTTTGATAAAAACCTGTAGCGTAGAATGAGAGTGCTGTAAGTACCTGTAAATCAATGAGAATATTATCAAATCTAATAATAATCATTATAATATTCAAAAATTTTGTTTATAGTCACAGTGTGCCAACATAATATTATTTTCATACCTTGCATTCCACGTTAATTTTTGTTTTTCTTCTTGACGCGACCATGTATAGCTTTAATTCGGTGCACAAATCCTGAAAGAGCTCTTTCGAAAGTCTGCAGTGGGCTTAAAACTCGGAGTAAAAGAGTTCCAAAGCTTTAGCTTGATCTCTGAGATTTCGTCTCAATCGTGCTGTGGTACGGCTTTGATATCTTCTGTCCTCAACTTCTAGTGCTTCAATCAAAAGAACTGCACGAGCCATATCGAAATCAAAGAAATGAAAATCTAAACAAACACTTCTATAATCCAAGCAAACACTATTTTTATACTAAGATGCTGTGATGTCAACAAACTTAGTAAACACACTTAATAATACACGTTATTATATTATTTGAATAATAAGAGAAATGCGACGACGAGCAATCAATAAAAATTCACCTATAATGTTATCGCAAAATGACAACTAAAAACGCTCGCTGATAACTATCGTCTTGCCCATAAAAGGCGTACGTAATACGAAAACTGGCGCGAACTTTACTTCATAAAGACTATTGAATGCATATTTAGTTTACCGATTGTTCGACAGAGGCAGCGCTGTCGCTAGTTAGCTGGGGCTTGGTTATCGCTGTTACATAATACGAATTTGCGGTTTATCAGCAATTATTGTGCTAATTTTGCTATCGCTAGCCTTCTGCAAGATACGTAATACGCCTAAGGGAATATATTCCTCCGTCACTATTTTTTCCCAGTTCACCAACGTGAACTATTATAAATTTGTAATTGGCATCTACCAATGCTAGCAACACTAGAAAAATACTTTTTGTAATTGAAATATAATGATCCGCTGTTTGGGGGAGCTTGTATCTTTATGTGTTGCCCAACTGTATGGGGAAATTCCACCCTCGGCATTCTTCCATGTTTCCTCCGTAAGTTCAGGCATAACTATTTTCGACAAGACTTCCAAAATAACTGAACAAGTTGTATGCACTATTTCTTGAACTGTAGTTTCTGTCGGGTCTGGGTTTTTTGCTATGGGGCGTGACCGTACTTCTTTGACGTTTGTTTTTGATAATTGTGACAGTTTGCATCGGAAACTTCACGAGAGCTCTGAGGCCGGCGAAAACTTTTCGAATATTGATGATTAGAAGAGATAAATAAACCCTTTTAATTATAAGGTAGGTAACAAAAATTAATTACAATTATCTATAAGAGGTATTTTCATATAATTACTTCAATATTTGCACTTAATCGTAAAGCTGAATTTTTGTGAAAGGTGTGTTTTTATAAGTTTTCTATCACAAAGCAGCATATATATATATGCTGCTTTGTGAAACGAGACATATCTCAGTTTTTTGTTATTTATTATATAGTTAAATTATATATTTTTTATATTCGAAATCAATGGCTAACACCAAAATATTGCATTATGTTTTTGTTCAGGCGTTACTTTTAAAAAATACAAAAGCCTATTTATCTACAAAATTCGTAAATGCATGTAACTAAATGACGATACAATAGTTATGGGATGTATCTAAGTGACCTTTATCCGAACGTTAAATGTGAATAGCGTTTATTGGTTTCGGTGCGAGAAGTTATCGAACCCGAGACGATTTCGCTTTCCGAGACGATTGTGAATAGCCCCGCTGATCTCTCGAGACCGGGCCCTTCTACAAGATCACCACCTGACACATGTGAAAACATAACGGCAAGAAAGACGAACAAACAACCACAATCTCAAGTAGCCAACGTATTACATTAATATTTAGACTGCCGAAAAGAGTCTATAAGCCCTATTCATTCTTTTTTTAAGGCCATGGCAGATTCTGTGGTAAATTTGTCTCCAGATTTTCAGCTTAAGACAAAATACGAATTATATTTAAGCGTATCCCAAGCGGAATTACAGAATTTATATGTCACATTTACTAATGTACATATTTATTGTCACATCATCTTTAAGTACAGGATGCATCACACCGAATAGAAATTTTGATATTTCACAGCAAAAGAAACCGAAGATCTGTATCCTCCAGAATGAAATTGTAAGAAATGCTGAGACACAAAACATTCTACAGCCATCTCAAGCCAATCCAACGAATATTGTGCTCTAGGATGAAAATGAGGCAAATGCTGAAACAAAATACATTACGCAGTCATCTGAAAGTATTTTACAATTACATATACAGGCTCGCATCGATATTACTTCAATTTTAATGGCGAGTAATGTTTTCAAAATGACACAAATAAGAAAAATTCTGGCAATGAATGATTACGATATTGTCAATAATTGATTTGCCATACATGGCATTTACTGTATAGGTTATAAAATAAATACTCACATACCTCATTGTAACCATGAGCTTTTCTTCTGCACCTATTGCTCTACGGAAACGTGTATCTCGCAGTTCAATGTGAGGCTTTATAATTTGCAACAGTTCATAGAACTTCTCTTTTGACATTCTTAAATTAGTGTGAAATCGATCAGGGTCCTTTCCTCCTTTTCTTGTCCTTTCTTCCGGTTCGATGGTACAAATGGGCGTGCCTCAAGGCTCAATTCTCGGCCCCTTTCTGTTTCTTGTATACATTAATGACTTACCTTACATAGTAGGGGATAACCATGATATAGTATTATTTGCAGATGACACTTCTTTAATTTTCAAATTAAATCGACAATTACTAAAATATGACGAAGTAAATAATGCTATATCTAAATTAGTAAATTGGTTTAATGTTAATAATTTGCATTTAAATGGCACTAAAACGAAATATATGAAATTCATGACTCCAAATGTCAAACAATTAAATACTAATATAATTTTAAATGGGGAAAAACTGAGTCTTGTAGATACCACCATTTTTCTTGGAATCACACTAGACGCGAAGCTTCAATGGATACCCCATATATCAAAACTAGCAAGCAGACTTAGTTCTGCAGCATATGCTGTAAAAAAGATTAGAAGTCTAACCAGTGTTGAAACAGCTAGACTAGTTTACTTTAGCTATTTCCATAGCATAATGTCGTATGGTATTTTGCTATGGGGACACGCAGCTGACACTGAAATTATATTTGTTTTACAGAAGAGGGCCATAAGAGCAATTTATGATTTAAAGCCTAAAGAGTCGCTGCGACAAAAATTTAAGGAAATTAATATATTAAGTTTGGCCTCCCAATACATTTATGAAAATGTAATGTACATACACAAAAATAAAAGTAGTTTTACAAAAATAAGTGATATTCATTCTGTAAATACTAGGAACAGACACAAGCTAGTAGTACCAGTTACTCGACTCCATCGAGTCTGTAATTCATTCTTGGGGCGATGTATACGCTTTTACAACAAAATTCCAGAAAATATACAAAGTTTGACCTGCTCAAAGTTCTAAAACTTTATTAAACTAAGTTTGTATAAAAAGGGTTATTATAATATTAAGGAATTTATGGATGATAATAACCCCTGGAAATGAGGTGATCGCTACCAAGCTATTTCTAATTTGTTGTGTTGTTAATTTGTGTAACACCATGATTGTAAGGAGTTATTTAAAAAAAAAGTCCCGCTGGGTTTCTTGCTGGTTCTTCCCAGGACAGAGGTTTTTTCCGAACCAGTGGTAATCAAACAAAAGAGTGACTTTCAATAAGTATTATTTATAATCTATATTGAATAAAAAAGTTTCTGTTTCTGTAAGAGGCGTGGAAAAAGACTGTGATATTCTCCCTCTTTATAGCGAGAATTTGGAATATCGTGCACCCATACTGAATGCGTTTTATTTCTTTCTACTCTTTCTGCCTCTTCGCATAATAAAGACACCACTATTACTTCTTCAATGTTCTCTTCCATATCAAAGTCTTTGGAAGAATCTTGGTGCTCCACCGACTCTGTGTGTGAAGTGCGGTTTGACCTTTATACAGGATTGGGACAAAGAGTGGTATTTTAGACAAATTGTACTGCAGGTACATACCTACTAATTCAAATTTAATGTGTGTCTACTAAACGAGTTTGTAAATATTAATGAATTTGTTTGGGACATGTGCAGTTGTGTATTGGAGTGTGGCTGAGAGTATTTAGAAGACTGTGAGGTGTGTATGTGTAAAAGTGAGTACAGATTGGTACAATGCAACATGCAATGCAAGAATTTGAGGTCCACATTGCTGCAATGTATCATGTAATGTAACAGAATTCCCATAGTGTGGACGCCTCGCGCGCACGAACTGCGTCTGGATCGCGCACGCTCCGAGCGTTACAACTCGTGCGCGGCTCGAGCCGAGATTTGTCGGTTTTTAGTACGAACACAAAGGGGCGCGCAGTATGCGCAGGACTCAGCCGTGGACGGTCGTTCGTTTGTTTCGCATGCGCAACGATCATGGCGGTGAAAGAGGGTGCGACGAGTGATGACGAGTCACTTTTATTGATAGAGGAATACAGAACAAGGGAAGTTTTATGGAACCCTCAAAATGAAAACTTTTATAAACAAAATTTAAAGAAAGATGCGTGGGACGAAATCGGAAATGTATTGAAAATAACAGCAGAAAAGTGCAATAACAAAATGACAAGTCTTCTCTCTTCTTACCGCCGTGAAAAAGGAAAGGAAAAAATATCCAAGGGGACTAGAAAAGGTAAGAATAACGCATTTTATTTGTTTTTATATAGGTATTTATTACAATTTAAGTCATCAAAAAATTAATAAACTTAGATAATACTTAATAATAAACTTAGATAATAATTAACTTAGATAATAAAATCAAATTACAAAAAAAGTACAATGGAGTTTATAAATCTAAAAAAAAAATTTTTTGCATAAACTATTTATACCTAGTTACCTAGCGAATAAAAACATATGTATATTCAATTTATACAGGATGTTTTAAGTCGATTAAATAATAAATAGTTGATAGTTAAACGTGGCTGCCAAGGGATTTATTTTTAATTTATTTGTTTAAATTCAATATTGACGACGTTTTGTAGGAGCTAGAATAGTATTGTTATTATGCATTAAATAACATAGTTTATTATTAAAAGAATTATGTGCAGTAACTAACTATAGGTCAATAATTAAAGTAAAAGCTAGTAAATAAAAGTGAATTAATGTATGTGTGTTTTATTGCAGGTACTTCAGACACATACACAAGTCGATGGTTTGCCTACAATGCTTTAAAGTTCTTAGACGATAGAAACACACCAAGAAAGAGAAAAAATACGGTAAGATTTAAACTACGAGCATCTGTCTTGCCAAGAAACCTTTCCTTCATTCATAAAATAATCAGCTAATTCGTCTCTGATAGCATTAAGATGCGCAGGTGATCGTCTAGAGATATTTCTTACAGGCAGTATTGATGTGATGTTATTATTATATTGCCTCCACGTACCTTCATTTAAATTTACATCTTCCTCCCTATCAACTAACCCTGGAATCATGTACACGTTTGTAGAGTGACGTTTTAAATAATTGTGTAAAAAAGTGATTGCCATAACCACCAATTCAGCTTTATCGGGTTGTAAAAGCATTGGTTTTCTTAAAACTCTGAACACAGACGATACAATGCCAAATACGTTTTCAACAACCCGTCTAGCTCTGCTTAATCTATAATAAAATATTCTCTTCGATGAACCCTTTGGATGTATCCCAGCATATGGCTTCATCAAGTATTCACTTAAAGCAAACGCACTATCGCCTAAAAAAATATGGTATAGAAACATTTCTATCGGATAGGGGACGTGACTCTGGCAGGTCTAATGTTCGATTCTCTATCTCTATATTATTAATTGGGTATCTTTGAAAACTCCGCCATCAGAAATCCTCCCTTGACAACCTACGTCTACGAATAGAAAATTATAGTCTGCATCAACTAGAGCAAACAAAACGATGCTAAAATTTTGTTTATAACTATAAAACTCGGTTCCGCTTTTAATAGGGGCTTGAAGTAAAACGTGCTTCCCGTCCAATGCCCCTATACAGTGTGGGAAGTTCCACCGGTCTTCAAACTCCTTGCTTATCTTCAACCAGGCGTTGGCAGTCGTGGGTACCTTAAAAAAATACTTAAATCATTATAATTATTTCCAGGAGTCCATTCAACGCTCAGTCTCCAAAAACAATGCCACCGAAGCCACGCAACATGAGTTCACCCCTCCAGCACCACCAAATGAGCATGGTCTACAGGAAGCGAAACGATCCAGAAAAGAAGAAAACAATGTTCTTACCGATGTAGTGGGGTATTGAAAACAACTGCACAGAAATTGGACAGTTCATCAAGCATTACTGACTTAACAAAAAGTTTTGTTTCATTTATAGGAGCTAAAATGAGTAACTATTCCTCTCAGACTAGGACTTCGGTTGAACACGCAATATTTGAAATTATTATGAAAGCCGACAGGGGATATTATGAATCTTGGCAACATCGACCAAATGCATATACAGAACCATACTCCAATCGTCCCTCAACTTCAGTATCCTACAGTTATACCTCAGCAGAAAATGTAGACGCTGCTAACTACTCAATCAACCAGCAGCCTTTGTCGGTCTCTTCACAAGACTTAAGCCGGATTTACATTTGTCTGACGTGTTGTGTTGTGACGCATCAGAATGGTATCGGTTTCATACATTTAGTATGGTGAGATTTATATTTGTGTGTCGCGATCTGTTGTGAGGGCTTCTGATGCGACGCATCAGACGAGATTCCGATCGCATCAGAGGGGTGGAGGTGGGTGGGCGGGGGAGCGGCCGCCTGGCGACGCAGCAGACAAGTGTGCACGCGACAGTATTGCGTTGTGACGCGTCAGAGCCACGTGCGTTTTTTGTTTATCCACTCGATTTAAAGTTTTAGAAAAGAATTTAAAGTATGGACGACTTGATAGAAATAGTACGACAATATAAAGTGATTTATGACACCAAATGTAAAGAATATAGGAACCAATCCATTATAGCATCTGTTTGGGAGGAGATAGGAGAAAAAATTAAACAACCCCGTAAGTACTATACTGCTTTATTTAATTAAACCGTGTTCTACCTTGTGTAATAGCTTGCATTTGCCATGGAACTTGTCCCTGGGGACTTACAAAATATGTTTTATATGCTTCACGAACTTGAATAGCTTCTTGAGATGGGTTTCTATTTAACGGTTCGATGTCTACTAAGCCATTACCGTCGCTCACCTCGCTTTCATCCATCAAAGTTTCTTGTGTTTCCTGTGTGTCTTGGGTCAAAAAGTTATGAAGGCAGCAGGCAGCAAGTACGATCTTGTCCGCCATGTTTGGTTGTACTTGTAAAGGTCCCTGAAACACTCTAAATCTAGCTCGTAATATTCCAAATGCATTTTCTACAGTACGGCGAGCACGTGATAAGCGATAATTAAATATTTTATTTGGGTTATTGTTAACTAATTTAGCTTTACTATACGGTTTTAATAAATACGTTTTCAGTGGGAATGCCGCGTCTGCCACAATAGTGTAGGGTAAAGGTTCTGTATTTTGGTTTATAGGTTTATTCGGTGGCACATTTAATTGACTGCTTTCAAACATTTTTCCCATTAACGACTCTTGGTAAATACCACCATCACTATTTCGGCCATACGCTCCTACATCTACCGTAATTAATCTATAATGCGCATCAACAAGTGCAAGCAGTACAATAGAATGCTCATTTTTATAATTATAAAAAGTGGATCCTGCATTTATTGGACATATTATAGAAATATGTTTTCCATCCAATGCTCCAATACAATTCGGAAAATGCCATACATTTTCGAATCCTTTCGCAATCTCTCTCCACACTTGTTCTGTAGGCTGGGGCATTACAATAGGGGCCAAATTCTTCCAAATTGCGTTACATACTTGTTCTACTATGATCTTTACTGTAGCAAACCCCATACCAACCTGAACCCCAATGATCGAAAAGAATTTCCAGTTGCCATAAATCTGTAATATGAAAACACAGATAATTTATTTTTGTTTCAGCGGAAAAATGTAAAGATGACTGGAATAAATTACGAAATAGCTACGTCAACGCATTGAAACGCCGTAAAAATAAAAAAAGTGGGCAAGCCGCTCAATTTATCCCGCCATGGAAATATGAAGAACAAATGAGTTTTTTACAGCCATTTATGGAATCAAGGTCGACAACAACAAATCTTTCATCACCTCCTGAATCTCCAGAATTTCACTCAGAAAGTACTCAATCAGACAATTCTCGTCCAGCAACACCACATACTGGTAGTTCCTCGCACTCCCAACAGCCTGTTAGAAAACCAAACTTACAGGATCTATATGATATGATGAAGTCTTCGCACGATTTGAGAATCCATAAGCATCATTCAAAGCAGCAGCAGGATAATATGACGGATGAAACAGACTTGTTTTTTCTGAGCATGAGCAAAGCAGTTAAAAAACTTCCGAAACTAGATCAGACCAAAATAAAATTGGATTTGCACACTGCTGTATCACAAGCTGAAATAAGGAAACTTCAGACACAAGCACAAATTCTTAGAACACCAATTAATGTGACTCACCAGATAGTTACTCGGCCACAACAACCGCTGCCACTCCAGCTACCCATTCCACCATCCACATCCATGACGACATTTCCAGCAGTCCCAGCTACACCAACTCTCGACAACATCAACTCTCAACAATCGGCCTCAACACTTTATAATTTTGAAGAAGATAACATCTCATCATATTATAGCAATGCAGACTTTTCTGATGATAACTGATTACCTGTCTTTACTAATAATGTTAAAAAAAAAAACAAATAAATCCTTACCTTAAACACACAGCAAGTCTTTTTTTTTGTCCCTATAGGTTTACGAAACTTCGTATGTATTTTTTTATGTCCCCTTCAATCAATGAATGAACTTCCTCGAACTGTGCCTTGGACATTCTAAAATACTGATGAAATCTTTGAGCATCGTTCTCAATCTCTTTAACGAGACAGTGAAACTCGCCTTTAGACTCTCTTTTATTATTCACTGGATGAACCCAATATCTTCTCTTTATTTCTTTCTTTTTTATAAGAGTTGCCAGCACCAAAAATTCAATATCTTCATACTCTGAATCAGAGTCGGATGATTCATGGGAAAACATTGTAGACGTATGAACTCTCCGAGAGCTATGACTGTATTGATTCAAAATATCGTCAGAGGCCGGCCGAACACAACATAAAGATGTGAACACTAGCCATCACGTCAGAGCCCGTCACGACACAACACGTCAGGCAAATATAAATCCGCCTTTACAGCACTCTTCTATAGATGATTTTACTGATTTAATTTAGTTAACGAAGAAAACTAAAGATTTTGATTATACGTACCTTAATGTTTTCTTTTAATTCTTCAATTATAGCAGAGCACACTTCAGGAACAATTCCACTTATAGATTGTTTAGATACTCTAAATGTATACTGTAGACTTGTGTAAGAGTCACCGGAGCTTAAAAATCGAAGAGTAATCGCTAGTCTATCTTGGGCTGAAATTGGAGCTCTTAAATTTGAATATTTTCGACTTATTCTTGGTGCGACTATCGCGAGTAAATTTTCAAAGTCTGTTGGCGTCATCCTCGTAAAACTTTTGTATTGGCCTCTTATATGCTGGAAATTCATATCTGTAAGCAGTTCTCTGCCTTCTCTCCGTTTATATAATTCTGTGCGCCACCAACGTCGGGGTCTTTGGCGTTTTTTTAAAAGTTGATGAATGATTAACAATGAAGCACTGATAATCGTCAGAGCAAGAAGGCTGTCTTCAGACTCCATGATTCGTAAGTATATCGACTTAAGTAGAGTGATGTGGGCAAAGAAAAGAACACGTGTGACGAGGGCTAGTGTTTGTAACGAAATGCGGGAACAGATGTTCTCGTTCTGATTCGTAGTCAATGCGCGTACCGCGCGCGCCACACGTCCAAGGCAGCAGGAAACATGCAATGTAAAGGCAGAATATTACATTACATGTTGCATTACACCAATCTGTACCCACCTTTATGTGGGTGGATGTGTGTGTGATATGTGGGTGTTGGGGTGTGTTTGTTTAAGCGTGCGTATGTGCGACTTTGCGTTGTGGGTATTTGTCTGCGGGTTTTAACCTCTTTATAACATTTTATTTTCTAGATCCAAATTTGATGACTGCAATTAAGAAGTAATAAGTAAAACATAGCTACGTTTATGATTTACAACGTTCTCATTTTACAATAACGAATAATTTTCTGCCGACTACAAAAAGGAGATGGTACTCAATTCGACTGTAGGTTTTTTATGTGTTTAACCTTATAACTTTTTTCTGGGTGAACCGATTTCGATGATTCTTTTTTTATTTGAAAGCTGGTGCTTCACATGTAGTCCCATATATATTTGGTCAAGACCTGACCGTCAGTTTTTGAGTTATTCTTAATAATTTATATTTAATTCGGCTGTAGCAAAATTTTTATTTTAAACTATTATTTATATTTCAATTAAAGTTAAAAATTATTTAAAAAACGATTAACGTAATATTCTTAATATACTTTATTTTTATAACCTGTATACATTCCAATTACCTATTTTAATGACAACTTTTTAAGTGTACTTCTTCTTGGTATTGATTGTAACACCAAACTTTCGTAATAAACGATTTCACATTTAATTAATATCTTTATTTACATTCTAACTAGTCAATAGTGCTTTTGACTGATGCTTTAGCAGTTAAAACTAGTTTTGACTAAGAGCGTCAGTTGAAACAAGTTTTAAATGCAAATTTTCAGTCAAAGGCACTATCAACCAATGATTTTCATTCAAAACTACTTTTGACCACCCTGTTAAGTCAAAATTACTTTTGCTTATTTTATTTAGTTAAAAGTACATTTGACTGGTTCGGAGTTTTGACTGCAACTTATATAATGTAGTTGCTAGCTTTTCCACTTTGAATAAAATGAAATGAATAAAAAAATTATAAATCCAATAATATAAGGGTAACAAACGAGTACAGAGTCCACCTGATGGTAAGTGGTTGCTGTGGCCGATAGAGATCTACATCTATCTTCGATTAAGAATCAAAATGCAGATGCGTTGTCAGCCGTGAGGACTAAGATAGAATGCTTCTTTTTCAGTAAAAAGGGTCTCCGGTTCTCTACACTCACCATACGAAACATAGTAGCAGTGTTAAGCTGCTATTTTACGCTGGTATTCTGTGAGAGCGTGTCCTTGTATGTATTATATTGGTATAGTATGTATCTATACAGGGTAATTTTTAATTTACTGAA